AGTACCAGTCTTTGGGGGCGCCTGGTTTGCTCAGTCAGTTAAGCATCTGCCTTTGGCTCAGGTCATGATCCCAGGGTGCTGGGATGGAGCCCCACATCAGGCTCCCTGCTCAGCAGGGAGTCTGCTTCTCCCTCTTGTCCTCACCCAAGCTCGTACTCTCTCTCTCTCTCTCAAATAAAAAATTATCTAAAAAATAATAAATAAATAAATAAATAATACCAGTCCTTGGGGAAGTTACAACCCTAATTCTTCTTTCTCTGTCATATTTCTTGGAAGAGTTCACTCTTCTGCAACACATTCATCTCCCATTCACTCTATGGGCTCCAAGTTCTGACTACAACTCTTCCCCCTCATTGCTACAGGAGCAGCCACAGGACTCTCTGTAGAGCCAAATCCAAAAGATGCACTCCAAGCCTTCTCCTTTCTGACCTCTCTGTGACCCTTGGCACCAACAACGAATCGCTTCCTACATAGCTACCCTCCCCTGGCTTTGAAAGAAGGTTCTTCTCTGGTCCCCCTCTTGCCTCACTGGCCATTCTTGCACAACCTGTCATCATGTCCTTGAGTCTTAAATTCTTAACATCCTTAAGATCACCTGGATCTGACCCTTTAGCAAGATTCCCACTGCCCTGAACAATCTTTTTTTCCTGCCCATCCCTTCAATGTCAGTTATTTCCCAGGACTCTGCTTCAGTCCCTTATAGTCTATTATCCTTTTAAACGGGAATCATATCACTCTTCTGCTCAAAACCCTCCATTGAGGGGCGCCTGGGTGGCTCAGTCATTAAGCATCTGTCTTTGGCTCAGGTCATGGTCCCAGGGTCCTGGGATCGAGCACCGCATTGGGCTCCCTGCTCTGTGAGAAGGCTGCTTCTCCCTCTCCCATTCCCCCTGCTTGTGTCCCCTCTCTCGCTATGTCTCTTATCTGTCAAATAAATACATAAAATCTTAAAAAAAAAACAAACCTCCATTGATCCCCACAAACCGACCCCTTCCCATTACCTCTCTCACCTACTGTCATTTTACTTCTCCCTTTACTCACCCTGTTTCAGCAACACTGGCTTCTTCCCACTGCTTAAATGCACTAGCCATGTCCCTGCCTCAGGGCCTTTGCATTGACTGTTGCTTCAGCTGTCTCTCAGGACTGACTTCTCATCTTCATCCAGGACTTTGCTCAAAGCTACCTTCTCACCGCATTAAAATTATAATCCTCTCCTGCCATCCAGTAAGATGTTCCCAGTCTTCTTTCCTCAAGCACCAGAAGAGAAGGAATCTTATTTGTTTTGTCAAGGTCTAAGACAGTGCCTCCCAAGTGGTATGTACTCAATGAATATTTCCTCAGTGAATGATGAATAAATGAATTCTCCCTATACCATCTCACACCTGTCTATGGCTTTAGCTATCAATTTTATGATGAACCCTAATCCACATCAGTTCCAGGCCCCAGACCTATATGTATCCATCTGGCCACTAGGCATCACTACTTGGACAGCTCCCAGGCATCTCCAACTCAAAATAGTCAAAATAGAACTATTTTCTTTCACCTTCCTCCTCAAACCTCCTCCTCTTCTTATGTTTACTCTTTCAGTAAATGGTGTTACCCCTGCAGAGTGGCAAGCCAGAAGCCTGGGAGTTTTTCTCGACTCCTCCTACTCACCTACTCACTCGTTCACATTCAATCCAACACCTGCCCCCACCCACTTCTCTAATCTCACTTCACAGTGCATCCCTTCATTGTCCAGCCAACACTGACTTCCAAGCTTTCATACATGCTGCTCCCTCTACCTCGTTATCCACTGCACCCCCAACCTTCCTTACTCAGCCCCAGGTCCAATGTTTATCACAAGCATCACCTTATTTCCAGGGTTTCTCCCATAGTTCCCAGTGCATACAGACCACTATCACATTAGTAATCATGACTTATCCAACTCCAACACTAGGCTCTGAAGTCCTAAGAGCAGATACTATGGCTGATCGCATTCTGATGTCTAATACAGTATCTTCCACATAGCAGGTGTTTAAAACATGTTTTATAAGCAGATTCTAGTAAACCAAATAAGATCCCTGGATTAAGAATATTATTCTAACTTATGACAAAAAATATATAGATTATCATCATAAAAACAATCCAATCCCTCACAGTGCTTGGTCCATAGTAAGTATTCATTATATATTTTGCTGAATAAGTGAATAAATAAATACAGAGGAAACAGTCTTGACAATAGCAAGAGGTATGAAAGCAGCATGAGATCAATCAATGTGAGTCATTACTAGGACAGTGGAGCTCACAATTAGTGGTGGAAGTGTGGCTGGATGGTGAGATATGAGGCAAGAAGGAAGAATGGGGAGAGAGAGAAAGTGGCTTGAGTTTGAACTTGGCTCTGCAAGCAGTGGAGAGCCCTTTATAGCATTAAGTCAGTGGAGTGATTGATGAGATTTGTGGTTTGGAAAGATCCTTCTGTCAAAAGAATGAAGGATGAATTGGCAGAAGTGGAGTTAGGTGAAAGAGAATTGGACTTTGGAAGATCAAATAGAAGGCAACTTCAGTAGCTTGAGGGTCTGAACGTTGAAGATCTAGCCAGGTTGAGCTCTGGAGACATTTCAGAAGTCAACGTGGATCTTCCCAAGCTAACTTCCTCCCAAAGGCTGAACTATGAATGGACAAGTTTCCCAAAGCCCCAACGCTGTCATGGGAAACCAGCTCATATGTATGGCTTAGGTTAATGGCTGCTGTTGTCTTCTGATGTAATTAATGTCTAGTTTTGATGAAGTTGTCATGGGCTCCAAAAACCCACTCAAGTACATACAGCACCCACACTTCCACTTAAGTTACAGATGCTCATAAAAAAGCTCCAGAAATATAGCAAAGAGCATTGGCTACTTATCATTTCTCCAGAAATCAAGGATTGCATAATGGGAAAAACTAGGGTCATTCTAGGCAAACACCTGCATTTATAAGATCCAAGGACCTTTCTTCTTTTTCTGCCTTTTTGCTGGATTCTAGGTGAAAGGAAGCCTAATTCTTTGAGTGCTGGTCAAAGTTTGATCCAGTCATGAAGGTTAGTTTGGACATCAAAAGATCCAGAACACAAGATAGAATGATTTGAGATCCCTCAAACAAGATGTCAGGGGTACTTGGCTTGTTCTTAAGGCAGTGCTATCAAGCCTTTCCATTGAACTGACATGATCATTGGTCCTCGTTGAGCCATGGGTCACAGGCATGTGACTCCCAGAAGCCCTTCTATCAGCCTGTTGTTTGCTATGGGGCTAATAGAATAGGTATTTTTTTGTAGGTGTGGTGTACTTTTAAAAGGAGCTTTGGGTGGGCTGGCAATTGGCTACAAACCCTGCCATCAGAAATCACATCTGTCTCTTTCAATAATAACCTGGGATAAGAAAAGTATACTTGTGTTTTGAAGTGCATTATAAAAAATAATAACACTGTATGAGAATATGAAAACTTGAATTACTTACTTCTAATCATTTTAGGTGAAAGCAATAATAATTTGAGATGTTCCAATGTTTGCTTTGCTGTTTCTGTTGTTGGTCTAATGTTCTCCCAGCTTCCTTTGCACCAAAGCCAAAGGACCCATGGAGGAGTCACCATTTTGAAGTCACCTGTCCTGTGCTGCTCTGCCATGTCTATGAACCAGAACACGAAGTCTCATGATCCAGGGCACTCATGATCCAGAGGCACATGAGCAAGTCTTATTCCACTGGGGAAGAAATTGAGGTTAATGACCTGGCCAAGTTACACTTGGTGACAGTCTCGCTGAGACTTGAGTTATGCCTGATTCCAGAGAATCCTCATTCCTTGGGAACAATCTTTGTTTTGAACTTGTCATTTGCCAAGTTGACAATCCATGCTATTAAAGCGTACTCCAGAGCTAGACTGCCTGCATTCAAGGTACCAGTTCTACCACTTACGAGATTAGCATTCTTTTTTCTTTAATTTTTTTATTTTTTAAGATTACCATTCTTTAAATTTAATTTTTTTTTTTACTTAGGATGACAGTAAACAGCAAATTTAAAAAACAAACAAACAAACAAACAAACACTCTTGGTTCCCCTGAAGAGGAGCAGTGCTTCCCTCTCTTCCCAGCCTTTGCAGCTGCTGATCCATTTGTGTCGGACCCTCTTTTCCCTGCTTTTATACCTCGCTCCCTCTTTACATTTCAGTCTGGGCTTAATTCACTCAGAGAATCTTCCTTTGGCCTTCCAAGGTTGAGTTAGGATCCCTTCTTGCGTGTTCCCATGGCAGCGTTTACCCCATCCCCATTCCCTGTTGCCACGCCTGACCCCCACTGAGACGGGCAGCTAAAAACCAGAGTTGGTTTTGTATCCCAAAAACCTAACAGTGGCACAAACTAGGTGCTCAAATATTTGAGGAACGAATAAATGGATAAATAAATGAATGGACAGCAAGCGATAAAAAGTCAGTAGACGAAAAGAGTCAAGGATATTCTCGAGACCCTAAATTCTGATTGGGGCCTCCGAAGGCGCTTGACCTCAAACGTGGGGCGCACAGTGGCTGGTCTCCATTCTTTGGAGTGGCAAGAGGAAATTCCCACCACCCAAAGACTCTGGGACTCCCTTGCTAGCTAGCCCCTGCTTTCTTCAAGAAGGCCCCAGGACAGGGACAAAGTCGCCCAGCGACAGTTCCAGCAGTAGGAGCAGAGCTGCCATCTTTCGTGCCCCTTGGATCCCGCGCCCTGCGGGTCCGCTGGGTGCAGAGAAGGCGCGCGCGGTGAACGCCCCAATTTCCCCGCCCTCAGTATCCTTCCAGGGTTTGGAGCTGAGGGTCGAGGTTCCCCGCAGGGGAGAAGTGTGTGGGGCAGTTACAGCCCCCTAAGCCCCCAACTCTCGCTTCCGTCACCCGCCCCCCTCCCTAGAGACGTGCGCTGGGCCCGGGGCCGCCGGGGCGGGGAAGGGTCGGGCCGGGGCGGGGAGAAGGGTTTATATAGCTGCAAGGAGGGCGCGGGAGCTGCGGCACACCGGGAGGCGAGAGGCTGCCCGCGGCGCCTCCAGTTCCTTCCCCGGTTCCCAAGGTCTCCACCCGAGGTCCCCACCGTCTCCCCGCGGTCGGCGGCACTCGGCGGGGCGCTCCCGGCGGTGCGCTCAGGGCGCGCCGGGAGGAAACCCACGCAGGGCTTGGCAAGCGCAGGGCTGAGGGCCGCGTGGAAGTTTCCCCGAGGTAAGTCCTGAAGCCGTTTGCAAGTGGTCAGTAATTGCATGGGAGGGACGGGCCAGATGGAGGCGGGGGCACTGCGTGAAGGCTGCGGTGAAGGAAAGAAGTGAATTTCAGAAACTCAAAATCGCCTCCTTCCGTTTTTTTTTTTCACCTCCTCGGGGCGGTTAGCCCTTCTCACCCCGTCTTTCAGTCTTCTGCATCCCTCTCTTGGCGAACATACAGCACATTCTGTTGTCACTCTCTGCTCCGGGCTCTCTTTTCCCCACTGCATACTCATGTGCCTTGAAGGCTGAAAGTTGCCTCACCCAACACTGTCCCCGAGCCTAGGGAAGGCCTGGCCTGTGGCAGGCATCTAGGACTATGGAAAGGATGAATGAGGTTAACCAGCCAGGGGCCAGAAAAGTCACTCCTATGTCTTTACAGACCCAGGCTGTACCTTGGCTTCTGGACCTCACCCAAATTTATTCAAGATGGTTGGGTTTTTATTATCGTCTGAGGAGGGGAGAGAACGCAGGAAAAAAAAAAAAAGCACCCATTTATGAATGTCCAGTAACATCTTGCAAAGAGTGGTACCCCAGCGACCTGGCTCAGTATCAAATGTGCAAATAGTTTTGATGAAGGGAGGAGGCAGGAGGGAAGAGGGAAAAACACTGGAACAAGAAAGTGATTTCTCTTGTTTTCTTTCTTGATAAAAGACTTCTCATTTCTCTTTTCAGAGGTCTACTCTATGGAGATATTTAAAAGTGATCTTTGCCAGTGGGAGAAAAAGTTTTGGTAGGAGTGAGGGGTGGTGATGCTGAATAGGAATATCTGAGATGTTGGTGGAAATCATGAAGACTTGAGATACAAGAATATTGGAAGTCTTATGTCAAGAATTTCCATAGTTACAGAATCAGCAGTCACATTTCTTTTTAAAGAAAGGATCTATTTGATGAGTAGTATTTTAATAGGAAATGTTCAAGTATGCCATTTTGAAGTTACAATGTAAACTTACTATTTAGTGTCCCCATTGATGAGATCACCTACATAAAAATCCCGAAGAGTCAAAATGAAGTGTTTTAAAGCACTTGGCCTTACGAGTTTTTTTCCTGATAAAAGTTGTCAAAAATTTCCTTCCTCCTTCCTCATTTTATTCCAAAATAGTAGAAGTGCCCAGGATAATCTGAAAAGAAAGCTTTTCTGTTCCTCAGACGTCCATGTGATTTTAGACCTTGTGCCGTGTGAAATAAAACTTTATGATTTACATAAAAGACTTTATGTGAAACACCCATTGAGGAACAATCTTCAGCTTTCTTTTTTTAAATTTTAAAAAAAAGCCTTCTGATTTTACTAAATCTTCTTGTGAAACAATTCTTTAAAAAGACCGTTGTTAAATATTATATACTTGCAATTTTCCATTTTCCTATTCCATTCAGATAGTTTGAATTGCAGAAAAGTTTGAATCGTTGGAATGTTTATAAAGAAAAGATTTACTTATTTACATAGACAGTGTTAAGAGCAGCTAATTAAGTCACCAAATGAAATTCACATTACAAGAATTGTGAATAAAAGTTGGTGTTATTTACTCATCTATATGTACACAGTATGCATCATCCCACTCATAAAACAGTCTTAAACATGACTGAAAAAATCTTCCCTATTTCTGAAAAATATGTGATTGCCACCTATACCATCCGTAAATAAATAAAAGTAGTCCAGACTAATGAGGATGTTTTTATGACCAGAGATTGGTCACTTCCACAGTCCCAAGAAATAGGTATGAAGATTCGATTTCCTGTACTTCCAATTTAATGAGCATGATGAATATAAGACTTTTTCCAGGGTGATCAAATGTTAGCCAGTATCTTTTTTTTCCCCTTCCTTGCTGACCTTTTTGTTGTTGTCCTTGTTATTTAAAGTAGGAAGTGGTTTAGCTTTGCTCTGAAACAGGTCTAGGTTCAAGTTATAGACTAGCTGGGACAATCATTTAACCCCCCTGAGGCTTCTTGCACCTGTCATGCAGAGCGGTGATCCCTACCTACCTCACAGGCTTGTGTAAGGAAAAAAGATCCTTAGATTAGTTAGATAATCTGGTTAGATAATGCCAGGCGTGAGTCCTCACTAAATGGAGGTGGCAGTGATGGTGATGGTTAACACTTATGGTTCAGAGCAAATAAAAGTGTTCCCAATAATTCAGTTAATGTTGAGCCCAATTTTATTCCATGTTTTGACCTCCCTGAAATACCTTGTTTCCATGGAGTATAACACATGATTAACAGAAATGCCTAACTCACCAAACATCGTAATCTCCCTTTTCCCCTGGAAGCCTTCCAGTTTGCAGAGATCATTTAAGGAAAGACCCATCACTTGGGCGTGACGCTGTCCTAGAGGAGGTGTGCCTATCCTGACTTCACTATGTATTTCTTCATATCTTATGCTTTACAATTTTGGGAAACTTTTTCTAGAGCAGTCGAATCGTTCCTGTAGGTAGAAGGCTGGGAGAAGCACACTCAGTGTCTTCGTTTCTTTGGATAATGATTCTGGGATAACAAAAGCATCTTGCTGCTTTCAGCAGGAAGGTATGACATTTTCAGAATTTTAAAATAAAGACCCTCAGTCAACCTGAAGTTCCTCAAGGGAATGGAGAGTTAAAAAGTCATAAAGGATCATTTACAAAACAGCAACTAGTTGAAGGCCAACATGTTTAAGGAAGAAAGAATAGTTAGAGACTTGGTCTCACTCCCTGTCTTGATTCCTCACTCTCCTTCCAAACTTGTTTTTTCCTGGGGTGACCCCAAGGCCCTGGCAGGGGAATTTGGAAGGGATTACATCGATAAAAATGGATACTGTTTGGCTAACATAAACCATGTGCAGAAGAAAAGAGCTCTTGTGTCTCTCATATCCCTAACGCTTCCATAGTACCTGGCACTAGTATGTACTCAATAACTATGCGATGAGTGAATGACCTAAAATTTCAGAAGTCTGGCTGAAGGATGCTTCTCATGTAAATCTGGAGCAGTTGCACTTAGAAAATCCACTAACATGAGAAACCTCAGGCAAGATGAAGGAGGCAGTATGATCTCTGCTTGTGTCTCAGCTTCTGACCTTCAGTTTTCTAAAGCAAAAACAGCGGACTATAAATCTTACTTTTATGAGTTATCTTCATGGACTGAGATAAACCTAAAAAGTAATACTTTTTATGTTTCCAAATAGCAAGTCCAAGGAGATTTACTGGTTTAATTTTGCTATGAATAGAAAGTTTTCCCCCAAATACTCACGCAGTAGAGGGGTGGGAAGAAAGATACAGCGTACAAACTAACTTGGTGTTATGAATGGAAACCTCAACATTCCCCTCGAGCCACAAAGGCATAATAAATACACATTTAACCATTCTCCATCCATTTACAATTAAGGATTGGGTATCGATTTGACTCTAAAATGTTTTTGTAATGCTCTAAGTACTGTATCCTAGACTTTAGAGGGGAATGATCTTGCCAGACTTAGTTGGCAAAGCCTTTTGTGTTGGCTTAAAAAACCATAAGCTAATCACTTACTGAGTTCTTTAAAAACAAGTTGATTAATGTTTGGCAAGAAATTCTGACTAGAAGTCTCCATTACATGAGTCCAAATACAATAGAACTTTGAACATCATGAGCAAGTCATAGTCACATTTGGCTATTACTGTTTGGTGGAAAATAATCCCACAGTGTGTCAAATGATCCACATGCCATCTTTTGGTACCCTACCTCACCATAGCCAGCATGTGTAATTAACTCTTTACTCACATTTACTTCCACACTTGTCTGGGATGGTTGTAATATCTATAATACTAAGAAGATGATGTTACACATTGTAGCAGATTTCCCTCATGTCCAGGCTTTTCTCTGCTGGCTAGCAGATGACATCAGAGCCCTCCCCACATTCCTTCTGCTTCCACTGTTTTGGTACACACTGTAGGCTTCTTACTTCAAGCACCTGTGAAGGCCTGTGGGCTTTCTCTGGCCTTGGGAGCATGACTGACTCATGTGGAGTAGGCCAGAAGGGCCTCGCGTTAACACCCCTGAGAGCAACCCCTCACTCAGTGACACATGAAAGTTGGTGAATATCCAAGCTTTCTCACACCTTGGGAGAGGCAACCCTTGAAGTATGATCTATACATTCTTCCAGACGTGCCCCCAAGGCAATGAGCTCCAGCTGCCCAAAATGGCAACCGATCTGTCCACTAACAATTCTACATTGGCTTCCTTCCCTTTTCTGTCTCACTCCCCTGCTCCTCTACAAGGGCTTCCAGAGATCACTTCCTAAATAAAGTAATTGCACAAATTCTAGTCCAGAATCAGCTTTGGGGGGAACCCAACCTACCATAAGCATGTGAGCTATTTCAGTAAATGCAGTGGTTTATGTATAAGTATACTGTAGATTCCGTCTAGCTAAAAATTGAATCAAGAATGAAATTCTTGCTTTTCACACTAAAGAACAGAATTTTGTCCCTAGACAGTGCTGTTTGACTTGTGTCTGGAGAAGTTAGTTTGCTGGCGTGACCTAGTCCTGAATTCCCATCAGCCCTTTGAGGGCTATGTTGGGGGGGACATGGAGGGAGATATTAGTAAGGACTCAGGTGACCCCGTCATTAGAGAAAGAGCATATTCTGCTGATTATGAGAAGCAGCTCAAACACATGCTCTGTAAAGATGGAATTGGCCTCTCTATATTTCCTTTTTTTTTTTTTTTTAAGATTTTATTTATTTATTCATTAGAGACAGAGAGAGAGGCAGAGGGAGAAGCAGGCTCCCAAGGAGCAGGGAGCCCGATGCGGGACTCGATCCCAGGACCCTGAGATCATGACCTGAGCCGAAGGCAGACGCTCAACCATCTGAGCCACCCAGGCACCCATGTTTTCTTTTTTTTTTTTTTTTAAGATTTTATTTATTTATTCATGGCCTCTCTATATTTTCGTTGGGTGTTTCAATCTCTCCCTCAGGTTTGTTCACCATTTGCTTACTATGTTAGTCAGAGTTCTTCAGA